TCTCCTGTTTTGTCCATCTTCCTCTAATTAAAGGCAGTGTAGTGCTATTGATACTACTAGTTGTGTGTGATTGCTACTGCTCTCTCATGTTAGATTGTATCAGCCATAACACTGCTACTTATGATAATAATCAATGTAAACAAGAGCTCTATAACTGTGCTGAGATAACTCAGAGTGTGTAGATTAGGCTGCAGTAATCACCTCTTACACTCAGCAATTAGAACACAAATGATGATGGCATGTCCTTGTGACATATGCCCCACAGGGGCAGGCACTGCATCTTCAGTAATCCTGCAAAAGAGGGCATTTCAGCAGATTACCATGAATTACAAGAGATGCTTAACTGCCATTCTCTCTTCTACTAAATACTATATGGAAAATGCTAAATACTATATGGAAAGTCCTGTCCTCTTTTCCTACTGAGAAAGATCACAGGGTCCACCGTAGATTTTTTCTATTCTAATACTTATAACTGACATTCCATTTAAGCAGTGGCAAATGGATATTTCTAAGTTTATATGGCAAGGTTTTTCCCCCCAAGAATTAGGTATAAATTATTCCAAGATGCTAAAGAAAGACTTGGGAATTTGGGTTTACCAGATTTGAAATTGTATTTTGATGCTTGTTATTTAGTTTGGCTTAAAGAGTGGGTGACTTTCCAGAATAAGAGGTTACTTGATTTGGAGGTGCGTGAGTTAAGATTTGCTTGGCATGCAAATAGTGTGCCAAGTAAAATAAATGTTGATTTCAATAATCACTTAGTTAGACGTATCATCCTAAGGCAGGGGTGTCAAACACAAGGCCTGTGGGCCCAATCTGACCTGCGGGTTGCTTAGATCTGGCACTCGGGGCTGCCCTAGAAACAACGAAGGACCAGCCCATGGTGCCTTTGCCAGTGAAAACAGAGCTCAGGAGGGCTGCAGCCCTTCCAAGCTGTTTTCGCTAGCAGACTGCTTGGGGTGTCACAAGCACCTCCGACACAAGTGATGTCGAACTGGCCATGCCCCTCCCCGTCCACCTCCTCACCCCCGAGGTCAAACACAACCCTGAGACAGCCCTCAATAAAATCAAGTTTGACACCTCTGTCCTCAGGGTTTAGAATAGATAAGAAAATAAGATTCTCTGCAAAGATACTTTTCTTGGTGTCACCCTAGAAAGCTTTTTTTTAAAAAAGAAAAGAAATGATGGTAAGGCCAGACTGCTCAAATGTTTAAAGACAATTTTTATAAAATGATGTACCATTGAGCATTCTATGAGTTAACTTTCTCTTAGTTTGACTCCTCTGCTGAAATCTGTCTAGCACGAGTTTCTGGTAGAATGTACTTCTGGCAGCATAGCTCTATATTATTATAGCTGGTTGCACAGTCAGCCAGATGTTTACTGATGTCATCATCAAACAATAGCATCTGCTTATCCTAGGTCCTTGGGAAGGATTTGCAAGGTAGATAAAAATGCCAAATATAGGCTAAACATCTATCTGTCTGTGCAACCAATCATTATCATAATAATTTTTGCTACATGTTGAGTTTGCAGTCTTTTTAATGCCAAACAATGAAATCTTAGGCATAGTTTGCATAACAATTTTTTGATCTGTAGAAGGAATGTTCTTCCTGTAGCCAGTGCAGTGCTGAAATTAGTTTGCCTATGGCAAATAAGATATTCTAGACAACCCAACAAGGAGCCCCAAAGGTGACATATCTGGGAAATCAGAAGAAGGGAGAAGACATTTGCTCTGAGGCTGCTTTGTAGTTGAGTGGAGGATTAATAGAGAGGAATGTCATTCATTTCTAAAAATTCTTCCCAGCCTGTTCTAGTAATGGGAAAACCAAGTAGTGCCAATAAGCCTTTGATTACTCTTTTTTATATCTTAGTGACCAACCTTGAGCCTTCGTATATAATAGAATAGAATTATTCTGTTTTGTTCTATTCTGTTCTGTTTTGTTCTGTTCTACTCTACTCTACTCTACCGTTACTTGAGTGGTCTTGGGCCCCCTCCATTTTCTCTTAATAAGGCTTAAGAGCATGAGGAACCCATTGTCTTCTCTGCCTGGGCAATGAGTTAATGCCTGGCAAGGCAGTATAGAAAGATGGGACAGTTGATTTATATCAGAATAGGACAACTCTCCATGGCCAACTCTCCATTGGCAACTTGCTATGGGATAACTTGCCATGGGATAATTCAACAATTTAATTTATTTAAAATAATTTAAAAATATTTTAACTTTTGTCATTCACATTTCATTTTGTCCCTCATTTTGCATCCTTTCCTTGTTGCCACCATTTCTTCAATATTAATGGAACTCTTGTCCCATGGTGAGTTGTCCTGTGGCGAGTTGGCTGCAGTAAATTGGTTGTGGCAAGTTGGCTGCAGCAAATTGTCCTAGATCCCATCTATATAGGCCTGTTAAGGATAATCCAGAAGCTGCTTTTTTTCTGCAGGCTTCTCTTTGTAGTCCTCTTAAAGTATGATTATCAGGTATATAAACAGGTAAAGAAGGACACAAAAACCTGAAAAAGACAAATGTAACTTTCTTTACATCTCCAACAAAAGTAACAGTGAAAAATGGAGGGGAAAAAAAGCACTTAGGCATATATGTATGAAACTGCTTTTTCCAGCATTAAAAAGATTGTTTTGTCTGTTGCAATATTTTTCCAACAGATCTTTATTTTCACAATATGTGTTAATGATATAAAATTGTCAATGAGGTGCTTTTCAAATTTTGATGAGTCATGTGATCTACAGACCATAGTGATCATAGATTTGAAAGGGGTGGATTGAAGCCAAATCCTGGAATCAGGAAATAAATTAAATAATGTGAATCATCAGCTGCCAAATCTGTCAACAGACCAGGAAAAGAAACAAGCAAACAATTTACAAGGTCACAATACATGAAAGTTTCAATGACTTATATGAGAATAGTCCAAAATAATAATAATAAAAAGCAAATCCTGAAAAAGTGAGACAATATTTGATTTTAAAGCTATGCCCTTTGGATAGAGGACAGGAGGACAAAAAGGAGGACAGGTCTTCTTTTTTCCAAACATCTGATAACTGTACCTTAAAGGAGATGTGACCTTCACTGATTGAAAAACTTGTACATAAATATCTTGTGAATTAATGTTGAGTTAAGACCTATTGTAACTTTATAACAGAAGTGAGAGACATATCCATGCTTGAAAAGCTAGCACTGGAGATGTTATGAAAAATTCTATAATGTAATTGCAGTTTCCTCTCTACAGTTCCTTTGCATCTTTACATACTCTCGAATTTCCAACTCCAACTTCATAGAGTATGTGGAATCAACAAGATGTAACTCTCTTACAGCTTTAATTGTTCTTCCAAGAATCATTTATCCACTGGTTTCCTCTTCCTGAGATAGCTACTGTACAATAAGAAGATTTTTCTCCTGCTGATGATTTGCTAATTTTGCTACCAAAGCTGTCTCTTTGCTGGCTTTTTGGCAGTAGGCCCTTTGGATTTGAATGGGAGCCCTTGGGAATAACCCAAGATGGTGTTTGGACAATCATGTACCCACCTGGGTCAATGAGTCTTGAAGATTACATTTCTTAGTGGGAGCGGTGGAAAACCATATCATCCATCTTTTTCCTTTTGGCAAACGATTTTCATAAGTATGCCTGGGTATTGACTAAACCTTTTAAAGCTTTTGTTTTGCTTTGCTTCTTATCTCTAGAAGTTGACTAGATGGTTGAATGCTGATTTATTTTAATACCTTACTGGATTTTATTTATTTCTTTTTTGTTCTTTTCCTTTGACTTTTTTCAATAACTTTTGTTTGCCATAAGGAAAACATGGCATGGCAAATAGTGGAAAAGTTTGGATCTGATTTACATCTATATTGGACTTTCACTACAGAGATTTTCACATTTAACTTTAAAAAAATAGTGGTTATTTTTTCAAAAATCTTTTTTATCCTGGACTGAATTTGAAATATCTAAAAATATTCTCCTTGCCTCTGTATTCTGAGGAATATCCTCCCTATATCTAAGGAGTTTTATCTATCCATTGCTAAATTACATCAAAGCAACAATGCATCAGATTATAAACAAGGGAAAGTGGTTCATAATGAAAAGAAAAAAAAACATTTGGTAATATGCAAACTCAAGTTAAAACTTTTTAAAACACTTTGACAAAATAATAATGATTGCAAAAAATGTACAATCCAAGTAACTAGATTTAAATTAGATTCACAAAAGAAATTTGATTTGAAAGTGGTAGATTCAGACAGAAAGAGATACAAGTGTTATAGACTTAGAACTGACTGAAGGGATAACGCATGCCTTCCCAAAGTTCAGGCCTTGCACTTTTTTACAATAGCTGAGATTGGATTGGTTTTCTTTAAGACGATTGATGAGGATTGGGGAATGGATTTATCATACAAAACAATTTCAGTTGGATTTCTTGGGAAGATAGATCAACTTTGGAGAATCTGTTTTATTTAACCAGATAACAATTGATAAGAGATGGTATTAAGGAACAATTATGGATATTTGATTCAGGATGAACCAGTTAGTTGTTGGGATGATTTGGAATAGATAAGAATCTATGGGTAAATTTTCTATGAGTTGAATATCATAACAGTTTGTTAACAGAGGATTTTGATATTTTTTGTGTTTTGTTTGTTCATCTGTTGTTCTACCTGTTAACTATTTAGCCATTAATACAGTAGTCTTGTCTTCTTTAGCTTCTTCTTTTTTTTAAAGGATTGTTATACTAGATGTCTCTATATGGCTACGTGCTTCCTTATTATTGTCTCTAAGTATGGAATATGGAACAGCAGTTCCTGACAAAACATTCTTCTACAATTATTGATATAATTACAGCTTTCTTAAAATGCAGTGGACTTGATAAAAATAGAACTCTTTCCCATGCTATAAACCACATGCCTTATGAGTTCCAGATTTCAGCTTTCCACTGGTCTCCAAGTCCCACATATGCTTGCTTAAGGATAAAGGGTACTGGCCTCTTATGGACCCCTCACCTGTATGCCATCCTTGGGTGAGACGCTGGTGTAGACTCTGTCGGGCACTTTTGGCAATGAGAACTGCCAGGTCCTCAAAGTTTAGAATAAACATGATGACAATTCCTTCTTCATTCTTTACAGGGACCACATCCACTAAACAATGAATGCGTGATGCTGCCGTGAGAACAAAATAAATAGTATTAAGTTGTAAATTAACATAATCTATATTTCAGTCTTTACCATATCAGAAGCAAATCATCTTGACTGAAATCAGTTTATTCTGGCTAAGATTGGGTATGGTCTTAAAGATAAAAATAGTATTCTCTACTCCTTCCCACTGTTCAAATGACTTCTTGGTTCTGAGTGCAAATAAAGTAATAGATGTTCTCTAAATTTTTATAGCTGTATAATGAAAGAACAGACAATTACAGCCATATTAGTTCTAAAGCCAAATCCCTTAGGAAGCTAGAATTCTAACTGTGTACAGGACAGCCTTATAAGATGAGATAAAATTGCTTCATGATCCACATAATGACCAGTCACTTGGAAAGGGTTGCTTCCTCCAAATAGTTCACCATTGCCCTCAGAATACCCTATATTCAGATAAACAGTTCTGTCTTTTTCTGATCCATGTTACTTTTCCAGTTTACAAAAGCAATGAAATTTGTAAATCCATTCTATCTCCTTTGTATCCATAGTAATCCACAATGTAAAAAAGGCACAAAATTGTATATAAATACTTAAACATATATATTTTATTTAATTTCTCACAAGTTATGAACATATTGATAAATATATTTTTCCATGGGATTCTGTTCATACAGGAATTCACAAAGACTTAATCCCTTAAATATATGTAGACTTTATTGATATATAGAACAGGAATACAGAAATGGCATCCCATTTTAGATTAGTGATGATGAACCAAATTGTTCAAAGTCAATAGATGAGTTCATGACTACTTAAGTAATAGAGAGGGGGTTCTGTCGTCCAGTGTCTGCCTTCCACAGTAAATTAATTTTTCCCATAAATTGTAATACACTTGTTTTTCCTCTTATGAGATCGCCTCCTCCTCCTCCTCCTCCCTCTTCCAATAAGAGGGATAAGATATAAGAGAGATACCAAAACTTCCTTGTAGAGGATGTGTAATTCAAATGTAATTCAAAACAATATATACACTAAAAAAACATTACACCTGTTTCTAAATAATGTTAATGTATGAAATGACTTTTTCCTAAAATATAGTGAGAAAAGATAAAAAGAGAATGTTCCTTTTATTATAAATGTGCCCTCCTAGATTAGCCTGACTTCTGTCAATGATGCTTAGTTTTTGGTTGTGTAAGCAAGTATTTCTTATTTCAGTTGATCTAAAGCAGTTGCTCAAAACAAGGATTAGAGTATCATCTGCTACTAGCTAGTGCTGATTCCATACTTTCCTTGGCAGAGTTTCTTATCTCATATATCACTTGTGCAACAGTAGATGAGATTGCTTCATTCCACACAGTTTGCAAGGGCTCAGATTCTTATAATCAGGAGCAGATGGTCAGTGTCTCAGAATTTCAAAACCTATAATGACATCAGTTATATGTTTTTGCTGTGTGTGTGTGTGTGTGAGAGAGAGAGAGAGAGAGGGGGGGGGGAACAGAGAATGGGATAATGTAACTCAATGGAATAAAAGTCTGGGATTCAATTAAAAGAAGATATTAAAGGATTTTAAAGTATCAGATTGGAAGTTTTCTAAATAATTTATTTCTTGTTTTAGCTAAAAGATACAATAGAAATTTAGGCATCCTCAAAAACACAAAAATAGTAGATGTTACTGGCATTCAAAGAGGCACTATTTTCAGAAAATATGTCAGATTATTCATGAACTGGCAGAGACATGGTAACAAAGTCAGCCAATGAATAGGCATAGCAGCTAAGTCAGCCAATGGATGCTGAAACAGTTTGGAGGCTGGGCATGGCTCAGCTCTGTGCCTTGCTGAGAAACGAAACTGAAACCAGTCTGGACTTACATCTCTACTGTTCTCTCCTGCCTTGTGTTCTGCTTGTAACTGCTACTACGTTGAAGAAGAATCTATATTGGTATTGTACATTTATATTCATGTATTATTGTGTATATAAAGAAGTTAATGAATCCTGCTGCATCAGTCTGCCTGTGTGTCCTTTCTGGATTTGATTGTTGCAACAAGATCTGATAAAATAACTAATAAAATTGTTCACCCAAGATTTTGAAAACCTTTATTATATTCATTTATCCAGTCAGTCTGTTTTAACTTGAGAAGGAAGTTTTATATGCATTCCTATGTAAATATATATACTAAAGGTTAGGGCAGTGGACATGCAAAAAAGTTAGAGACAGAATAACTTGTTTATGGAGATTATTAACCTACCAGTAATTAGGCAGAGAGATCTTTTTAAAATGCTTTTAAAAGCCTCTGACCAGCTGAGCGGTGCGATCATCAGAGGCTTTTTTTTTTACTTTTAAAAGCATTTTTTCAGCCAAAGAGATTGTAGAAAAAATGCTTTTAAAAGTTAAAAAAAAAAAGCCTCTGATGAGATGGGCGGGGTAAGTGAGCGGCAACCGGACCAGGGACCAGTTCAGGGGCGTGGCCAGTTAATGTTATTACCGGTTCTCCAAACTACTTCAAATTTTTACTACCGGTTTTTGTAAACCGGTGCGAACCGGGAGCAACCCACCACGGATGGACATACATGGGTTGTACGTATGATCCACATTCAAGTTTACAATAGTCGCTCCACCCCCATTGGAAGGCATTTCAGGTATTTGACAATTGGGCTGCTTTTACAGATGTTTGTAGTGCCCCATGGTCACATGACTGCATTTTGTGGTTTTGCCAAAAACTAGCATTTATTTCTGGTTTTTGGTAAAACTGGCCCATAGTGAATAATGGGTTTGCTTACTGACCATGGTAATTGCTTTATGACCATGGCATTTGCTTAAGGACCACTGCAAAAAGAGTTATAGCGTTGATCGCAAGAGTGACCCAGTTTATGACTGACACCAGTTATGACCCTGATTGGCAGGCTCCATTATGGTTGTAACTCAAGGACTACCTGTAATGAGAATCTGTTTATCTGTGCATTTATTAAAAGTACAATATGTCCTAAATGTTTATTAAAATGTTAAATAAATGTTGAAAAATTTAATAATATTCAAATCACTATAGAAATTATGCTAAAATGTATGAAAGTTTCACAGAGTGGAAATGAACTATTTCACCCATCCTATATTTCAGTTCTCTAGTTTCCCTATATAAAATGAGTCTCTGTGACCTTAAGAATATTTTAGAATTAAAATATTTATATCTGTTTAGTTGAACCATAACAGGCTGTTAGACTCTAAATAAACCAGTATATATACAGCATATGCAAACATTCATATTCCTACTGAGAAGATTGTATGTTCCAACTTTTTAATTATGTGTACATAATGTTTGATGTTTGCAGAGTCACAATTCCCTGCCCACCCAATCCATCATCTTTAGCGTCTAGCATATAAAACACAGAGCCAAGGTGCTACCTCACACCATCACTTCATTTTTTTAATAGCTTTGTAAATTTGTTATGATAGTCAGCCAGCCAAGTGATAAAGAGCCTTTGTAATATTGTAATTTCACATGACAGACAATGTTTGGGAAAGAAATGGGATAGGTGTGCAATGGGTCTTTGCCGAATTCCAGAGATCATATAATGATATTTTAATTTTTTTTTAAAAAAAATCTCTTTCATAAAATAAGGCACAAAGAAGAGGAAATAAAATAGCCAATCCCATTTTCTATAACTCTGTTTTATCATGATTGACAGACCGTTATCACTCAGTAGATGTATGTGTTTTCTACACTAAGGCTTATTACACAAATACTATTTCACAAGTAAATAGAAGGATTAAAATGATGGTTTTACACACACACACACACACACACACACACACACACACACACAAACACACAACAGCACAATGATCCCTATTACAAAAAAGCAATGCTCATCCTCACATGCATAAAATCACCAGACTTTAGCAATCCCCGTCTCATTTTTACTAATAATTCTGTAAAAGTGATGACTCAAAGAAACTCAAAGTATAAGGGTTTTAAAATTGTAAATATCACCCCCTTCCTCCAATTTTGCTGACATTTTTTTCTTCCTTTATTTATAAATACGTTCTTCCTTTTCTTGACACTCTAAGCAATATAGTTCAAGTGATACCCAGGAACTTCAATAGTAAAATATGCCCAAATCCTTGAACAATAATCCTTTAATGTGCTTTTCCATAATACTGAAGCTATAATCGCTATTTCAGCCTGACCATTTCATTCTTCAAAAAATGCTTCTAGCATAATATTTTGATTCCACTGATGATCAGGTTTTAATTCTCCACAGTATTTGGAATATCCCTGAAACTCTCCTTTAACATTTGCCTCCATAGGGAGATTGGTCCCATTAGAGTGGTCTGTCCTTGGAGACTGATAGACTTAAATGGCTTCCAGATGAACTAGGGCAATGATGGCTAACGTTTTCTGGACTGAATGTATGTATGAAATGTATGAAATCCCAAAATGCGATGCATGCACGGCCCCTGCATGCGCCCCCATGCATGTGCATCCCTTACCCGCATGCATCCCACCCACCGCGCATACACAGCAGAAATCTGAAAACCAGCTGGCTGGTGGGAGGCGTGCACACATTTGCGGTGGAGCTGAGCTGGGGCGTTGGCTTGCGTGCCCACAGAGAGGGCGCTGTGTGCCACTTCTGGCACGTGTGCCATACATTTGCCATCACAGAACTAGGGGATATCCCAAAGGATTTGCTGCACAGTTCTGCCAAAACCTTAGTAATGGCATGGAACTAAAAGGCCGCTGAGACTTTGGATAGAATTGTGCCTATGTGACATCTCAGGACCCTTCAATCTCATAGTTCCCCATGGCTCATGGAGGAAATGAGAGTTCTGAAATGGGTTAATAGTTTATAGTGCCACTGGAAAACGAAGGATGACTCTGACTGGACACATCTTGGAGCTGCTATTAAGGCCTACTTCATAAAAGCAGTGAAATAACACTGCCTCTCTGCTCTTATCGCATCTGCAGTGTGTTGCCCATTGACCATGTTGTGGATCACTCAATCTGTCCCAGGCCAGGGGAGGCTGATAATCT